ATTCTGGCTTTAATCTCAGAATTCTGACTGTAGTCTTAGAATTATTTATTTAAAGAATTCTGGGGAAAAAAGTAAGAATTATCTGACTTTTATCAGGAAAAATTTTACTTTAATAGAAATATATATACATTTTGCTCCATGTCCCTATTCCCCTTCCATAAATAAACCAGTGGAAAGATTGTAACAAAACTATCCAAACATAATATTTTACATGTACATTTGATCAACTTTTCGAGTTAATTGACTTCAAAATATAAAGATATTGAGCTAAAACATAAATGTGGTGGTCACTTAAGGTCATTCCCAACACATTCTACAAGCTCTAATAGTTTGCACATATTATTTTCAAGGTTTGCCCCAAATGGCTCTAAGACTGTTATTTCTCCTCACAAGATGATCTTAATTTTAAAGCATGAAAGATGGCGGGTGATTTGCGTTCCTTTCAGAGCGTTACACTGTAAGTTGCAACAAACATTCGACTGACTCTGATCACAGAGCGTGACAAAAACCCTGCTGGTCTGAGGCCTTCGTCTCGAGTGTTGAGGTGAGCGCAGAGGGACAGGGGTCGTGAACTTTTTGCACACGCACAGCTATCTCTGCGATCAACTGATGCCAAAATGACACCTCAGGCTTTGATATTTCACTCAGCTCCCCGCTCAAGCCACTAAATGGATCCAGAGCCTCGCGAGGACGCTGGGAGAGAGCACCGCGGGTGACCACGAGCCCACAGTCGTTTGGGAGCTCTCACACAGGAAGCAGCTCTGAGATATCCCCCACCCCCCCACACCCTCTTTTTACATCCTCTGTCATGAGGAATGTCCTCCTGCTGCGATAGTAGCCACAGAGTGGAGCAGGCTCCTGTTTCCTGCCCACATGCATCTGTTCCCTCCAGCCCTGATTGCAGATAGAGACTTAACTGAGCCTGGGAACTGACCAGAGCCGACTGACAGGCAGAGTGCGGTGGGGAGTGGGGGGGCTTGGACAAGCTGGTTGTTAAACTTTAATTGTAGCGTCTGTCTTCAGGGACTTTTTTCCACGCCACTGGAAATGATCACAAGGATCAATGTTTTAGTAGGTGGGCGGACGGGATTGTTTGAGAGAAGGGTTTGGTTTTAAAAATCAAATTCTCAGAAGAGAGTACAAAAACACACACACACAAACATCTTTTTAATCTAACCGTTTTTAGTTGAGTAAAGCAAGAGTTCAGTGCAATTTATGCCATTCTTAAAAACAAGAACAAGTTCAGGCAATCCCATCAACCCTGGTTCAGTTACTTCCATTATTTCACATAACGCCCTTGTCTTTATGCATTTTTTATAATAATAGTTTTCCCACAAAGTAAAAAAAGAAAAAGAAAGAGCCAACTTATAAATAAGCCACGATGTAAGCACGCCTTTGGGTGTCCAGGTGTGTAAAGGATCAGATTTCTGCGATTAGATTCACGGCTCAGCTCAGCTCCACACCTACATTCAGACAGACTGCTTTTGGATATTTGACACACATTTCACGTGTAATTAAAGTAAGAGGAAAAAGCAGACCCTCTGAAAAACAACCAGAAGCTTTTTCTGCTCCCGCACAACATCTCTTTCTCACGACTCCTCTCCGTGCTCCTCCATGATTTGTAGCTGGTTTGTAATTCCTTCCTGCTTTTACTGCTTATTATTATCGCATAAAGTGACATCAATCACCAAACTGTAGATCTGAATTTTATTGCAATACAATAAATGTCTTAATTGGGTTGTTTATGATGACTGATCGACATAAAAATATAATATATAAATACAGTATATATACCCAAAACTACAAGTTTCTGATAATTTCAGATTTCTGAAAATGATTGGGTTTTGTAGACTAAAACTTTTTTTTCCAAAATTTAAATTTGATGAAAGAAGTACAGGACGTATGGGTGCTGCAGCACTTCTTGATAGATACCGGAAAGAAAACCAGTTTCATTAGTACTGCATCTTGAATTTCAATATCGACACCTTTCTAAAATAGTCGCCCATGTCATGTTTTCCAAGTTTTTTAGGAAACACAAAAAACATGACCAAAACAATATCGTAACATATTTTAAGATTTCTGACAAACTTAAAAAAAAAAAAACGACATACCGGTAGTTGATTCTTTTAGGAACGTGTCGATATTTCGATGATAATAATTTTGTAATTCCAGTATAACAGTGTGCAAAATGGTATGTACTGCTTAAAGCACACAAAACATTTGCAGAATAATGTAAAGTTTATGATTTAATTGTATAGATATCATCTGTTCAATATACACAACATTTTTTGTCCATAATACCAGTTTCTATTTCGCCTCATGTATTTGGTTATCATGGTATTCTCCATAGAGCCATTAAGATCACAGCCCCCCCCCCCCCCCCCCCCCCCCCCATACTTGCATGTTTTGTCAAACGTTATGTGCTCCAGATGAGCCAAAGTTCTGCTTACATACAGGTCAGTGTGACAACCTTTTCATTCAGGTACTTCATGAACCAGCCACGAATGCATGAAGAGTTTGAGAGGCGTTGATATATTCAGCAAAAACATTCAAAATTGGAGCTCCAAATGTTGAAATAACAGACATCCAGTTTGCAGAAGCTGCTTGTAGCAAAATAGGCTACAGTCTGGTAATTTGGGAACTTAAGAGATAAAAGATGAGTCAATGCTGTGATACATGGCAACAGTCTTATTATGAGAACACATCCATGTCCTTATTGAACATGTCCTCTGTCTTGACCAATACTGTGGGGTTAGTTAAGGCCCATTAACATCAGCTGCAATGTCTCTTGTCCTGCAGCAGGGGACGAAAGTCTTTTTCTCTGGTTCATCTACATCGGGAGCGGGTGGCCTCCAGAGCTTTCTGGTGTCTCCGTTTGTTGAACCTTTTGACGTAGTTGTTGCTTCGCAAGAAGCCATCTCCAGACTTCAGCTTGCCGCCCAGCAGGTTCAGGAGGTCACTGGGAAGGTGGCGCCTCCGGTGGTAGATCTGACCCATGACCATGTATCTGTTACCTTGTGAAGAAGTACAGGGGAGGTTACGAGGGCTGGAGAAAAGTGCAAAGCTGAGCTGTTTTTGTGCTTTCACTAAACACTTGAAAATGAATTCACACACGCCCCAAAGATGTGAATTAGTCACAGTTTTCAATTTGAAGTTAGTATCTCAACGGACTATGGCTGTTGAAAAATGGTTGGTGATTTATTGGCACCAGCTAATCCTGTGACCCAAAAAGATTTTAGTAAAAGGGAATGAATGGATAATTAACGGGGCAGATTTCAGACCTGAATTTTCAGAGATGTTATCTCAGGTGTTTTCTGTCAGAGGAAAGCACACGTCAAAATCCTTCACTCTTGTGGCAGGATGAGGCATCCACAACAAAACTGAGAAAGGTTTGAGACAGCAATGAATCTATAAAGGGTTTGAGACATCCTCAACAAAAGTGAGAGGGGTTTGAGACATCTGCAACAAATCTGAGAAGGATTTGGGACATCAACAACAAAGTTGGGATGAGTTTGAGACATCTGCACCAAAATTGAGAGGGGTTTTAGACATTTTCAACAAATCTGAGAAGGGTTTGAGACATCTGCAACAAATCTGAGAAGGATTTGGACCATCTACAACAAACCTGAGATGAGTTTTGGACATCAGTACCAACACTGAGAAGGATATGAGACATCCGTAACAAAACTGTAAGGGGTTTTAGACCTTGACAAATCTGAGAGGGGTTTGAGACATCAGTAACAAAAGTGAGATAGATCTGGGACGTCAACAAATTTGAGATGAGTTTGAGACATCAGTAAAATATCTCAGAGGGGTTTAACACATAACAAATCTGAGAAGAGTTTGAGCCATCTACAACAAAACTGAGAGGAGTTTGAGACATTCTCAACAAGCCCGTGAAAGGTTTGAGACAACCTTAACAAGTCTGAGGATTTGGGTCATCCTCCACAAAACTAAGAGGAGTTTGAGTCATCCTCAACAAATGTGGATGACATAACTGAGAGGAGCTTAAGATATTCTCAAATTTGAGAAGGTTTTGAGACATCTACGACAAAACTGTGGTAGGTTTGAAACAAACATAGCTCAGATTAACTCTATTTTGGAGACAATATCCAAAAATGTGATTGCATTTGAATTCTTTTGTGCTTTTGTACAGAAAGTCCTTCACTAGGATAAAATTTCTCATCTTCAAATGTAATTCACCCAGTTAGCTTGAAGACAGATTTCTTGGCTTTTGGAAAACGTAAGCACTCAACACTTACCAAGTTTGATATCAGGGCAGGGCTTGCTGCACTTGTAGGTATCCAAGACCAGGAGGCGAACTTTAAAGAAGAAGGTTTCCGGGGTCACATACAGACGACTCATTTTGTAGAAGCCGTCGCTACTGACCATCAGCGTTATCAGCCGTGCTCCTTTACGTAAAACGTCGATGTCGTGGACGATGCCATTGACAGCTGTTTGAGAAGAAGAGAAAAGAAATTGTTACCAATATGTTTCAAAGAACTAACACATTTCACGAGATTTTGCATTAGATTGTGCATGATGTCTCTTAAAGGTTTGTTCCTACTCATCATAAGATGATCTTAGCATAAAAATCTGCCATAAAAGGATGGTTTACAGTCATTTAAGGATATTTTTTGGAGTGTAATCGTTAGGTAGAAAGACCTGCATAATCAACTCAGTATTTCTAAAAACTGACTGAAAACTTGTAGCTTTTTCTGCACTTCATTTCTGTTTGTGTACATCTGACGGAGTCTGTATTTGTGTTACGTACCAAACTCACTGTAGCAGTAATATTCCTTCTCATCCTTCTCCTTCCTGCACTCACTCATGCAGAAAGCATCGTGTGTGTAGTCAGCCTCTGCAGACAAGTGAAAAATGCAATAATGAGAAGAAAATCCTACACCATAATTTCTTATTTTTAATTACTTAGAGGAAAGACATTAAACATCCATCTTGTTACATTTTGTGTGGTTGTGACTGTTCTTTACGCAGTCACTTTTAATATCTTTTGGTGGGATATTTAAAAGTCCCCAAATGCTTAATGAATACCACAATATGAAACATCAAGGTGTTTTTCTTTCTGTAGTATGTCACGAAAAAGATCTGTGTGAACAACTCTTTATTAACACATGAGTCAGAGTTCAGGGTCAGGAAACATTGCTCCCCTACCTCGCCTCAGGATGTCAAACTGGTAAATCAGACTGGAGGAGCGGCGGTTGAAGAAGACCGGTGGGCGGCTGTTGTTCCAGGTCGCCGTGTTGAGTCCAGACTGATAGAGGCTGGACTTCCCTGGCCGGTTCTCCTCTGGGTCCTGTCTTCGGTTGGGGGGATCCCGGTGCGTGGAAGCAGCTGTTTGCTGCGGCTGAGACTGGGTCTGTGTCTGAACCGGAGCCCTGGGTTTGGAGTTGGGGTGTCCCTCTGACTCGGTCTGCTGAGGTGGGCCGACGGGGGTCTGGATGTCCTGGTTGGCTCTCTGGGATGTGCGATTGGTGCTGGCGCTTGCAGCTCCGGTCTGCTGGGTTTTAGGGAGCAGGCCGACGGCTTCCCCCATGCTTTTCTCGTTGTTGTGCTCCATCAAACGGTCACTCTTGTGGGCCTTTTTCCTCTTGTTGTGGTGGCGAAGGACCGGCGCCAGGTTGGTGTGTTTCGGCCACACCGAAGAGGGCAGAGGGTGGAAGTTTAATTTGGACTCACTAGTCTTGCTGCTTTTCTCCAGGAGCTCATTGATGGGCAGTGTGGGCTCTTTCACCACAATCCTGGTCTGATTTGTCATGGCAGGGTCCACAAAGCCGCCCTGACCTTTTTCTATAAGAGTGTACAGCTCTGTAATAAAACCAGATGACATTTCAGTTACACAAAACAGAGAAAGTACACAAGAATAGAAGCACCTTAGAAAAAAGTCCTGTGTCATGTCAGACAGCTTTGAAACATGCAAATAATACCTCGAAATGTGCAGTTCAAAAAGTAATAATTACTTTTGAAAGTAGTACATTGTATGGAATAGACAAAATTCTTAAAAACCTGCTAAAAAACAGTGGTAAGCCACAGAGTTTTGGAAGTCCTATCTCTTTCAGTTCTCTTGTGGACCATGTACTTCATTGGGCTTAACGGGTTAAAGGGATTTTGGTGAAATGGATAAAAACCTCCACCTCAGACATACTCCACAATAATGATCAAAGTTTAAAAATGTTGGACAGAACATATCTGAACTGACTGAACTTTTGTTTTTATTTCTTACAGTTCTTATACAGTCACATTTATGTACAGATCTAGGACTTAGATTTCTCATAAATCCCCACCAAGAAAACAAACACCCAGACTTCCTCAGAAAGTAAAGCAGCTTGTCAACTTGTCAACGCCAGTATCTATAGGGGAAAAAAATAAAGCAAATATCCACTTACCATTGACAACATATTCTTCTGTGTTATGAAGAGGAAACACCAGAAACAGAAGAGTCAGAGTAATCCCTGTCATCATTCTGATGCTCAGTTTGCAAAGTTTGCAGCACAGATGGGATTATTCCCGGGGTTTTTATAGGACTGCTCAGGGAGAGGATGGGATGGGAGGGTGATGGGACGTCCCCAACTCAGAAATAAACACTTTCAACCTGGTTTCTTTCATCCATCCTGCAGTTCTAACAGCGTGAGGAAATGTTTATATGCTGAGTAAGTCGTTTTTTGTTATTTTTAAAACATGTGTAACAATAGCACAAAGTTTGCACTACTTGGGAAAACGTTCAAATGAGATTTTTCTCAAGTTTAACTGAGTGTAGAAAAGCGAATCTTTACTGCACCCTGGTGGTGAAAATAAAAAACATTGAACACTTTCTCAATTTAGCTCCAATTACCAAGGTTTTCAGATTTTATTTTATTTTTTTGGGAAAAAGATGCTTAAACTGTTTTTCCTTAGGCACTAAAAACTGATGCATTATTAATATTAACTGAAGAATTTGACAGACTATCATAAAGCTTAACCTTATTTTATTCTAACCCAATAATACATGAATAAAACATTTTTATTAGCCAAAATAAATAAAAACTGAATGTTTTAATGTAAAGGACAAAAAGTTTTGGAACACTATGATAATAAATGGTTGTAAATTGTGACTTCAAATGCATTACTAAAGTTAAGTCTTCTTTTTATAAAAGATGTAAGAAATCTGTAATTTCTTACAAAAGATTAATAAAGCATTCATCAATCCATGCATCTGCAAGGATAACTTGGGATGTTTTTTCAGTAGGCCACATTCGACTCAAGATAATAACACCACCTTGGAGTTAACGTTCAGAAACCACAGCTTTAACACATTTTGTTCCAAGTATGTCAAGACTTCATGGAGCATCTACGATGGACTAAAAACTGAAATATAAACGACCCAGATGGGACTCGAACCCACAATCCCCAGCTCCGGAGGCTGATGCCTTATCCATTAGGCCACTGGGTCATTACGTAGCTCACATTGTGACGTACGTTTTTAATCACAAGATAGAAACGTATACGTGTTGGTATGTCTATGGCATATTTGCAAAAAAACAAAAAACAAAAACAAAACAATGATATTGACACGACATTGTGTGATGTATATTCGTTTTTTATGAGTCGGGTGACGTAACTAAAAACTGCATTGTTTGTGCGTTTTCTTTAAATCGCGGACAATAGGCTCCGCCTATTGTAAATCTGACCAATCAAAACAGAACCACAACCATTGATCACGTCACGCACAGCGTCCTTCAATTTTCAACAGTGTCGCGAAGAACTCGGTAAGCTGCAGATGTTCCACTGCCTAGTACTTTTTTTGAAACATGTTTTCTGCTTTTGTTTTAGCTCAGGAACAAAGTGTATGGTTTTTGTTTAGTAGCCAGGCTCCGTGCTGCCTGTACTCCGACATGCAGATTACTTTTAGATCGGTTGAGCTTAGGATGCTAGCGTGTTATGAACCGTTGCTACGGCATTTAATTCGTTTCTCCTTTCCCTCAGCAGGAGACAAGGTTGTAATGTTAGAGGATTTGCTCGCGTTGAAGCCGGCAAACAACAGGAAGAATGTCAGGTGACAACACTGACGTTCGACTCCACCAGTATAAAAACAATGGGAAGGATACAGACGTAGGTTCAGTTAGCGCGCTTAAAACACGCAGGTGTGTTGTTTAAATTAACGAGCGTGGCCATGTTCGGTCTTTGTTTCAGGAAATGAGGCGCAGGAGAGCCGAGGTAAACGTGGAGCTGAGGAAGACGAAGAGAGAGAACCAGATCCTGAAGAAGAGAAACTTTCAACGCGACCCGGAAGCACCAGTACTGGTTTGGCTCGATGAGAGCTCTCCTAAAACGAAACTATAGTATTTGAATATGTGAACAACTAAATTACTGTCTTTATGATCATAATTAAACCTTCAGTCTGATTTTAGAAGAGCACAACTACAGCAGACTTTAAAGTAATCAGTGACTTAATTGAGACTAAACAACAAACACTGTGCAGCCATTTTTATTTACATTTTTAAAGCTTTACATTGCAGTATACTTATAAATTAGTTACCTATCATAGTGACTCGTTATTTTAAACTGGTCCACTCTGAAGCTTCCTTTGGGTTGATTCCTCTTTGGTTTCTGTCCAAAGATATCTCATTGGTCTGTGGAGGACATTGCAAAAGGTGTAAACAGTCAGGATCTAGATTGTCAGCTTCTAGCAGCACAGGCAGCCAGGTAATGTCATTTTAATGTAAGCATTATTATGTAAAGTTAGAATACAGTGTGGTATTACGGTTGAAGCTCGCTCACTTTCAGCCAGAGGTTGTGCACTGTGAGCCATGTTCCTCTATGATTAGATTTTGTGACATTATTTCCCAAAAAAAAACAAATAACTTACATTTTTTTTATTTGTGCTTTGAGTTGATAATTTCCTATTATTCCCACATTCTCTAGTTATTATTTCATGTTATTACTTCAGGCATATTTGTATTGTTTTTCTTCTATTTAAAGCTTTTGGGATCACTTTTGTTTCAACATTTCTGTTTTTCATTTCCCCTTTTGTTTCTGATTTCCAGAAAGCTTCTCTCTGTGGAAAAGCAGCCGCCTATCGATGATGTCATTTCTGCCGGCCTCATCCCAAATCTTGTTAGTTTCCTGGCGGTGTTTGAATTCCCTCCGATACAGTTCGAGGCCGCTTGGGCTCTCACCAACATTGCCTCTGGCACCTCAGAGCAGACCGGTGCTGTTGTGGAGGCAGGAGGCATTCCAGCATTTATCAAACTGATGACATCGCCTCACCTGCACATCAATGAGCAAGCCATCTGGGCGCTGGGGAACATTGCCGGTACTGTAGACTGATAAAACCCAGCATTCCCTTTGAGACAGTTTTTTTTTTTTTTTTTTTTTGTTCAGGTGTTGATAGGAGTTGCTCTTATTATAAAAATTATAAATTAACAAATTTATGATGATTTCTGACGAGAATAATTAAAAAAAACATGTCTGCACATGACAAAAGCTTAACGACACAATCGCTTTCAGCTTTCGGTGTTTGTACCACCAGAATTTTTTTAAATCTAAATTTGTTCTCCTGTCTCTTGCTTCGTCCGTTAATACAAGCAAAAAATCTCCCAAGTCGGCCCGCAATGCTCTTGGCATAGGCGAACTAGGCGGTCGCCTAGAGCGCCATCTGCTGGAGGGGGTGCCGAACTGCAGAAGGAAAAAAAAGTAATTATTTGTAATCCCTGGTTGTAACTCTGCTCAGCGCCCCTTTCAATTAGCTTTGTCTTAAAAACTATAATGAAGTATTACAGGAAAAATAAACTACTCTACCCATGAAACATCCCCCCCACCCCAATGCAGCAATTGTCCCCACCCTCTCTCTCATTTGGTTGACGTTGCACTGACTCGTCCTGCTCCGACACTCTGACGGGGGAGGGGCTAGTAGTGCCTCTCAGGAAGCGGTTTGTGTTGACAAACTCAATAAAATATCTGTATTTTGTTGTCCCATACATGTAAACCTCTTCGGACGTTTACCTGTATAAAAAGCCTCAAAAATCCATAAATTTTGCAAACCATCCATACAACTCGCACCGGGGGGTGTCAGCCACGCTTATGGAAATCCATACAAGTTGACATGTATKYTGTTATTTATTTGCTTTCTGGGAAAGCAAATAAATTTAAGTTTACCATAGTACCTTACATTGTCAAACTTGTTTTCAGGGGTTCAAATTGGGATGGGTGGGACATAGTTCGGGGGGTGGGGGTGGCGTTGCACTTCAACTCGCCTAGGGCACCAAAATGGCTAGAGCCAGCACCGCTTCAGTTCATTACAAGTGGCCCTCTGAGGGCCACCATAACGCTCATGTGACCCTCAGTGAAAATGAGTTTGACAGTCCTGCTCTACGTGAATTAAAATCAAATAGTCTGGTTTATCTGAGGTGATGAGGGGTTGCAGTGAAAACAACTCATGTTGTTGGAAAAGATTCAGGGTCTGTTGTAGATTATTGTGTACAGCTTGTTGTTCTTCTTTTTCTTTGACATTTATTGAGGTCTTTCACTCCACGTTTGTAAATTTCAGGAAGCGTGTTGCTGACATGTTCTGGTTCATTGTCCACAGGTGATTTATAACGGCTGTAAAGGAAGCTAAGCAGTTTATTAGATTTAGTTGTGTTTTGCTCTTTTAAAATGTTCTGCAACACAATATTACTAGCTGCCTGTAATCCAAGCAGAGTTCATGGTGATAAAGTAACATAACCTGCTCTAATTCTAATTTAGTTTCTGTGGACTTTTATTTAATCTGTTATTTCATACTGATGTGTTTTTTTAACTACACAGGTGATGGACCTTACTATAGAGACTTGGTAATAAAACATGGTGGCCTTCAGTCTCTTTTAGCCTTGTTGGACCACACCCAGCTGTTTCTGTTTCATGTAAGTGTCTGTCAGTTGTCAGTGCGTGCATTAATTCTAATCCAGCTGTTTTCTAATTTAGAACCATAGCTTTGCACTAAAACATCACATCCTCTTTATCAGCCTAACTTCAGGCGCAATGCCACCTGGACACTGTCCAAACTGTGTCGGCACAAGAATCCTCCCCCTCCCTTGGTGGTGGTGGAGCAGCTGCTTCCGGCCCTGGCGCAACTCCTGCATCACGACGACAAGGAGGTTCTGGCCCACGCCTGCTGGGCCCTTTCTTATTTGACGGACAGCACCAACGAGAGGATAAAAGTGGTGGTTCAGGCTGGCCTGGTCCTTCCTCTTGTAGGGTGTCTGGCATGTGAGGAGCTCTCCATCTTGGTGTGTGGCGTTTTTAAGTCTTGTCATAAAAACCATTCACGTTTGTTGTTTTTCATCACCGTTTCCCTTCAAGCTCTGATACACCAAATTCATGTCAAGCAATGACACCAGGCCTCCTTGCAACATCTCATATTTCCTGTGCCTACAAAAAAAAAAAAACAGCAACCTTCAGCAGTTAGTTTTAACGTACAACCTACATTCAGGCACCGCGGTGGAATTTCAAAAGCTCAGATAATGGGGTAACTGTCCCTCTCCTCCTAGATTCCTGCTCTGAGGTCAGTTGGCAACATAGTGACGGGAACGGATGAGCAGACCCAGTGTGTGCTCGCCGCAGGTGCACTGGCAATGTTACCCGCTCTGCTGCGCCACCCTGACACCAACATCCAGAAAGGAGCAGCCTGGATGGTGTCCAACATCACTGCCTGCAAAGAAAAGCAGATTCAGGAAGTAATTGATGCAGGCCTGATACCCATCCTGGTGGAGCTCCTTCAGCAGGTCAGAACCTAGAAAAACAGGTGCTCTATAAAAGACAGTTGATCATAAAAACACATTTTTATGCTGCTACAGTAAAAACCTGCACTGATCTAAGATAAAACTGCATTAAGATAGCCATCAAATAGAAATTGTATGTAATCCCCAAGAATGAATATTAAGAAATATTCCAGTAGAACATCTTTTTCTTCTTTTCGCTGTTCCATCTTTAGGAGTTGCTACATCCTCCTCCATCTCACCTTGTCCTCACTCCAACTACCTCAATGGCCTCTCTAACTGCACCCATACTGTATCTTTTTAACACCCTCTGGACATGTCCAAACTGTCTCAGTCTGGTCTCTAACCTCATCTAGTGCTTCAACCAGTTCTGTACTTCTGATGACCTCATTTCCAATCTTTTCCATCCTTGTCACTCTCAAGGACAACCTCAACATCTTCAGCATCTTCTACTTTTTGTCAACGCCACCGTCTCCGCACCAAACAACACAGCTGGTCTCACTTAGGCCTTTTCAGCTCATTAGTCAAGATCTTATTTAAAAAAAAAGTTTTTCTTTTTTAATATGACACAGTTTGTCTTTTTCTCCTTATGAATGTTCCAATATTTTAGGGCTGCAACTAACGATTATTTTAATAATCGATTAATCTGTCGATTATTTTTTCGATTAATCGGCCAAATCATTAAAAACACTTAATTACATAAATATAAGTAGATATAATTCAATTTAATTCCTGTATAAATTAGGGATGCATGTTATTGATTAATGTGAAGTTGTCTGAAGTTGATTTTTCGTATAGATTGACTAATGATTAATTGATAAGCAGCCATTTTCTTAAAATCCAGAGTTTTCTATTGAATCAAGAGAGACTTTTCATAAAATGAAGGATTTTTAAAAATGTGCTAAATTAAAAAAAGAAGCACATCATAAATATTTTCATAATTGATTTTGCCAGCCATATTAAACACTGACTGAAAAAAAAAGTGGATTTCTCGTACATCAATAAACTTGGTTATAGCTATAAAACATAAAATAGAAATTTAATAGGTCGCTGAATGAGGAAAACTGATAAAAAGAATAAAATATGAATTTTTAGATGTAAAATTATTATTAATTTATTATTATTGTTAGAATTTATTTGCATTTAGAATTTATGATTTTTCTCTAATTCTTTATGTTTTCCTTCCCGAGAGGAGGAAACATGGTGGAATGAGGTTACTTTTTTTTCCCACACGGGACGCGCTTCTTCCTCACGACGCGGCTCGCATCAAATCAGACCGTCTTTTATAGACTTTGTTTGTTTGTTTAGGGTGATTTCAAGACCCAGCTAGAAGTGGTGTGGGCCATCAGCAACTACACCAGTAGTGGATCAAAGGAACAAGTGGCCTACCTCGTCCACTGCAATGTACTGGAGCCTCTGCTCAATCTGCTGAATGTCCAAGACAACAAGATGATTCTCATCATCCTGGATGCAGTCTGCAATATTTTAAAGGTATGAAGCTAGTCGCTACGACCACTTAGCTATAGCTGCCAAGTAGTTACTGGAACTAGCAAACTTACAGTTTTGTTTTCTTTCATGCAGACGTCACAAAGCACCGGTGAGTCTGAAAAACTGTGTCTGATGATTGAAGAGCTGGGCGGTTTAGAGAAGATTGAAGCACTACAGAGACATGGAAACGAAGCTGTCTACAAGTCCTCCTTCAAAATTATTGACAGCTTCTTCTCTGAAAAGGTGAACAGTTTTTCACAGTAGATTGGTTTTGTTTTTCTGGTCATTTGGAAACATTTTTAGTTATAGTTAAAAGAAAAGTATAAAACGATATACTTGCAAAAATGACGGATTGATACATTTGTGCACATTTTTAAATGTATGAGATCTGTGGGGATGTGTACAGTTTGTTTTTATTATTGATAATGTTTTCATTTTTTATTTTCAAAATGTATAAATTTGCTTTATCTCATATAAAGTACATTTATTTGATACACTTTAATTGTGGCATACGTACGTAATTCTGTGAAGTAAAAATGAACAGACTACTCTTTTTCAGGTGATAAAGCTTGTGCTCGTCAGGAAAGTGTTTGTCTTGTGTCCATTGTGAGACCAGTCTCAAAACAGGTAGTGACTTACATAATCCTCAGTGCTTCTTGTCTCTCTTTTCTTTGTCTTACAGAATGAAGATGATGAGTTTGTGCTTCCCGAGGCCCATGCAGACTGTTATGCCTTCCAAATCCCTGAGAACCAAAGCACTTTCCACTTTTAATGTTTGCTTTTATTTTTGACAAAAAAAATTCTTGGGGATATTTTAAAAACTCTTGTACATACATGACAGTTCAAAGACAAAGTTTTATAGTAATGTTTGTATTTTTACTATTGTAATTTGTAATAATTTATATTTAAGTTTGTTTTTTCTCCCTTGACATAAACATATTCACAACAGGGCACACTATTGATGGACAAAGAGGGAAGAACAGTAAAACAGAACAGGGTTTTATCCAGTTCCCCACTAGATGGTGCTATGTTCCTTATTTTTGCCTACGTATTTGTGGGTTTTGCAATATCATTTTCAGGAACTTTTTATAATAAGATATCTATTTTCATTGTTTTCATTGTATGTTATTTTATACTGTAACATAGGTCAGAAAGAAGTATGAGCAGAACTGTACCCTGAATGTTAATATAAACATTTATTTTTTTAACGTATGCACTATTTTGTTGAAAAAAAAAATAAAACGTGGCAAACATTGCAATATTAAATGTAATTTTGGTCTGAAGAAATGCTTTGTTTTTTCATTATCAAAACAATTTCCATAATACTGCTTCTTAATTTTTGACAGTCACAAATTTTCGTAGAATCCATTAAGAGTCATGTTTTCATAGCAATTAGAAAGTAATAGATTTTTTTGTCTTGCACTCACAAGTCAAGATTTATTTATTTATTTATTCATTATTATTATTATTAATATTATTATTATTAGAAATTACACTGCCTTTTACTTTGAAATGACTACCGGATGTGCTTCTGAGTAGCTCCGCCTTTATGCACGGCACTAACTTCAGTTTTTAGGTTGAGTAGACGCTTGTTCTGATGGAGGGCATAGCGTTCACTTAATTTGTGTCAGTTTGTCGTGGCACAGTGATCATTTGGGAATGAAGCTACACGCGTTTTTAACCTTATTTCTATATGAAAATGGGCTCACTTGGAAAATGTATTGCCAGTGATACGATTATGTCTTTATGCTGCGTGCGCAGTCAGCGTGATTTGCTAAGGCGATACTACTAGCTAACCTAGCTTAGCCCCAAGCCAAGGATTGTTTTGGGAGATACCTGCTTGGGAAACTCACACGTCGACACATGAATTAGACACTTTTTGTCCAATTTCATCAAGGTGGAATACAAAAGGGAATGTCGAACCAAGGAGTACGGAGAAATGGCCCAGTAAAACTGCGCTTGACAGGTAAGCAACACTAAACCCCTTCTCGTCGCTGCTTAGTTATGCTAGCACATTAGCCTACATGCTAAGTGATCACAGTAATCTGCTTATAATAAAAACTTACATACTGTTTGAACTGGTTTAAAACACAGCTGATTTTAATTTACCTAATTAACATTGGGAAATATTGAGACCTACTTGCTGTGGTTTGAACTCTATGAAATTTTAGCTAATCAAATACAAAAAATAGTTTATTTTCATGCATTGGCCTTGATGAGGTAAAACATTATATGCCATCAAACCAAAATGCAAATTGTTATAGTGTTATGTTTCATTTTATTTTCAAACTCTATTTGTTACAAATTGAAAAGTATTGTAAGGCAGTGATTATCTTAGTAGAAAGAACCAAATTTCCATTATCATATATTCTGAGTTTAGATTTGTTGAAGTTAACTAGGTACAACTGAGTGTTGAGAAGGCAACATTGTGGTTTTTTGTCATCTGAACTGTGTGTTATTATCAGAGTTGTTCTTGTTTAATTGTCACATACATATATAGTTTTCTTAAAACTTTGCTCTGCTTGCATCCTCCTAGTCGCAGATTAAATTGACCATTTTCTAAAGAAAGTAAGAGAATGTGAATCAGTTTTGTTTGCTAATAGTTCACATTTAATATATTTTGTTTGTATTGTTAAAATGCCTGTAGTAATGTTGGAGGAAAACTATTAATTTGTGTTCCTTTTTAGACTTGCTAATACCTGCATGTTAGACACCAAACTTGAAACATTTTCTTTCATTTTGTTGTTTGACTTTACATGAATTATGTTTAATCTGCCACTAATAATGCTTACGATGTTGAAAGATAATCTATTCATAAGCTTGTTCGTTCTTAAATCTTTACTTTGCCATTGTGGCCTCGAGTCTGACTTATTTGTAAGACTTTATAGGTCATGTTGACTCGAATTAAAACACTATTATTTTTTTTATTATTATTATATCGAGGTTGTGTGGTTTTTATACTGCACACAATGTAAGTTTGACAAAATGTAACACTTTTTTTGGTCAAAATACAATGATTTTCTCCTATTTTAAAATCTTTTCCTCATATTTATCAAGTAGATCTATTCTTTCATATAAAAACTCAGATTTTGTTTTAGACTGGATGAATTTGAGATTCTCAAATGTGAATAAAGAGAATGAATCAGCATCTCATCTTGAAATGTAACTCCTGAGCTGTATTATTCGTTGAGAAAGAAGTCTATCTGTGCTTTCCATTTCCTGCGTTTGACTCCATTTGGCACGCAGCAAGCAGGGAATAAACTGGAAGAATCATCTTGTGGGTTTCTGTTAGCGTTCAGACAGGTCTAATGTCACTATTGTTTATGTCTCTCATGTTATTATATTTGTGAATTCTGATGAAGAAGTGGTGGGTGGGCGTGGTGAAGGAGAAAGCCAGGAAGTTTGTGATTAAGGTGAGGGTCCTTAGTTTTAGCCACAGCAAAACCAGTTGGACATTTGGGGATGTTACCGCTATCTCAACCTTTATTCCTCTCTTAGAAAATATCTGTGCGTCACTGTCAGCTGGTTTGGTTAGGTCACTGCAGGCTTTGTGTTCTGATAAAAGAAGACAAATGTACACTTTCAGAATGAACAGAAATGCATTTATATGTAGTGTAGTGCTGTACCAAATGATTATTTTCTAATCGATTAATCTAACGATTATTTTTTCGATTAATCAATTATTCTAACAACAAATCTATAAATTATTCTGATGCGAGTGCACT